TCGACCCATCCTCCTCTCCACCTCAACAAAACTGACAGCTCAGCTATTTCCACTTGTCTCTTTCAACACTCCTTCAGCCATGCAACTCACCAATGGCCTTCCAAGGCCCCTGAAACTGCAGGCACCTGCTAAAACCCATACTGAGATGCCATCTCCCTGGCAGGAGACCACACCACTAACCTGCTGTTCAGTTCTACAAGTCGCTTCCTGACGCCAGGAGCTCTTTGCTGTTTTCCACCCACTCCTGTTCCAACTTCAGCAAAAATCCTCGCCGGCCTGCAATCTGCCTCTTGCAGCCAGCCACAAACGCCTCTCCGTGGCCGCCCAGTCATCACTTTGGAGCTCCAAAATAGCTTGCGGTCCCTGCCAGCTTGGACTTTAATGAGGGTTTCCCCTCCCCCTTTCTTTTTTGACTCCTGGACACCAAGGCTCAGAGACTGCCTGTGCCTCCTGTCATCATGGGTATCTTGGGGGTGGGGGGTGGGTGGGAGTGCCCTCAATGAACTCTACCTGATATCCACATCCTGATCACCCCACCACGGGGCACTCAGGACTTGGGGGGAGAGGTGCTTTGAAATGTGTATGCTATCTCCATTTACTTTGCTGGACACGGATTGCCTGTGTCTTAACCTGTTTCACCACAGTTATACGTTGTCCCTTATACTGCTTACACCTGTTGTTACCATGTTCTACTGCCTGCACTCTCCGACCGACTGGCACCTCTTATAAGTGGCTTTAGGAAGATGCCTTGGCACCCACATTTTCTAATCTGTTTTGTAGTCATGTCATTGCCCACATTCATTCCCATTTCCCCCATTCCTGACTTGTAAACAGTTAAGTGGTACAGCAGTTATCTTGCTTTGAGTCATTTTAAGTTTGCACCACTAATCGGTTTTTCTTTCTGCATTTAGCTTCTTTGGGGGAGCCATAACTCGAACCCCATAAATTCAATCCTCACCAACCTTGGCATGTAGGTAGAGGTGGGTTAGCCGGATATCCCTTGTGAGTTTGGTGTCTCTATCATGCTGAGGGGTGTTCTACCATGTCACAAACCTCACAAATGAAACTGGTTTATTTGTGATGTTTCATGGTTCATGAAGCTGGCATACCATGAACCATACCACATTTTCCCAGTTCATGCCCATCACTACTCAACACCAGTTCTCTAGGTGAAATCCATCTGGTTGTCCTCATGAATTACCCCTGCATTGACCCATGTGGATCTATAAGAACCAGATCATCACTGAGACAGTACCCTAAGACCACAATTGTACCTTTAAAGATTGACTACCTCTTTCAATAGTCTTTCAGTAGTCATGTATGGCTGCGAGAGTTGGACTATAAGGAAGGCCGAGTGCCGAAGAATAGATTCTTTTGAACTATGGTGCTGGAGAAGACTCTTGAGAGTCCCTTGGACTGCAAGAAGATCAAATCAGTCAATCCTAAAAGAAATCAACCCTGACTGTTCCCTGGAAGGCCAGATAATGAAACTGAAGCTCAAATACTTTGGCCACCCAATGAGAAGGGAGCACTCACTGGAGAAGACCCTGATGCTGGGAAAGACTGAAGGTCAAAGAAGACGGGGACGGCAAAGGATGAGATGGTTAAACAGTGTCATAGATGCAACGAACATGAAGTTGAGCAAACTTCAGAGGACGGCGGAAGACTGGAAGGCCTGGCGGGATCTGGTCCATGGGGTCGCGAAGAGTCGGACTCGACTGTGCGACTGAACAACAACATTCTCTATTAGCACGATTGCATGTGATTTCGATATGTTATTAGTTTATGAATTTTACGAAAGCATGAAGTATATCTTTTCTCCTTCCTGAAGAACAGTCCAAGTCCAATCCCACATCTTTCATAATAATAATTAATTTTTATTTTTATTGGCTTCGAAATAACTCCCTTAAACCAAAGTTTTTCTAGTTGGTAACCCACTTCCTCTCTCTCTACCCCACTGTTTTATCCCTCTCTCCTCTACCTTCCTTTCTCTCTGGGGCACTTCTTCAGACTCAATGTTCCCAAAATCAGAAAACCAAAGTTGTTCAACTACATTATCACTCCTTCATTTTTTGGGGGGGGAGATTGTAAGCATGCAGATCCCGTTTGTCAGGAGGGGTCATTTCACTCAGCAATGTTCCCCATCAGGGAATCGCAGGAGTCCATATACCAGGCATCTTGACGTAAGTGGAGACAAAGATGGATGCCGGCACTGGCAGGCCTCATAATCATGCCCAGGCAGTGACCCCAGGAAGCACATGAGATCTTGTTCTGACAGCCGCAACCCCCCTCCGCCCGCCCTGCTGCCATCTGCATACTCTGGACAATGAAGAAGAAGTTGGATTTATACCCCGCCCTTCACTACCCAAGGGAGTCTCAGAGCGGCTTACAAACTCCTTTCCCTTCCCCTCCCCACAACAGACACCCTGTGAGGTAGGTGGGGCTGAGACAGCTCTGACAGAAACTGCTCTTTTTCAAGAACAGCTCTTATCAGAACTAGGGTTTGCCCAAGGTCATCCAGCAGGTGCAAGTGGAGGAGAGGGGAATCAAACCCGGCTCCCTCAGATTAGAGTCCGCGCACTTAACCACTACACCAAATGGACTTGGCTCGCCCCACAGCTACTTCTTTTCAGCCTCAATCCCTATCCCCTTTCAATTTCGCCTCAGCCTTCCTCCCCACATTTCCTTTGTAACAAAAAGTCCTGAATTCCACTCCTTTCCCACACCCCAAACCCAGGTGACTCATCAAGCAGTATTGTTTCTGTTTTGATTATTTTACATTAGCAATCCATTAGTTCTTCAACCACTGGAGAAGTAACCAGGAACCCAACCCAAATTGTACTTTACATCCAGAAGGGAACCTCCGGTCTCCTTTGTCCACTCCTGGGAACGCTACACAGCGTTTCCAAACTACATTGTTTTATCCCTGATTAATCTCATCAATGCTTTCTTCTGAGGGACCCTGGCAACTAGCAAGCCCTCTGGACACATTTTTGGATATAACTAGCCCACTGCAGCATTCTGTGTTTGTGTCGTCTTGGGCGCCTACCGACACACATCCCCAATATACTGGGTCCTTCCACAAAGCGCTGGTTGTTTTGCCATCTCTCCTTCTCCTTAAAGCCCTGGATCTCCCCCTCCCCCCGTCCTGTCGAGGGTGCATCCATCAGCTCGGCTGGCTTACTCATTGCCCCCGCCACCCTCGAAAGGGAGACAAACGTAAAGAAACACCATGTTAGAACAAAACACACTCTACTAATATGCACTTGTGTCTTCATATATTGATTTAAATACAATAGAGACACTAGTATAACTTATACATATGTGGTGGCACAGAGGATTTATCCTCTGGTTACAGTAACATCTGAACTGAACAGAACTGCTGTCAGTTCTAGCCCCGTGCTGGTGTGAGATACCAGCCTTGTCCGCAGCTCGCCGTCCACCCAGCAGTTTGAAAGCTTTGGCGAGTAGATAAAATGGCTACCACTCCTTAGAGAGGGTGGGCATACTACCCCCCCCCGGTGGGGGGAGGTGTTAGCCGGCGAAATGGAATGTCCAGCTCATAAGCTCGTAAGCCTGGAACGATTTCCTCGGCATCAAGAAGCCTGCGATGGGCCAATCCGACCAGGCGGTGGCAGTGCAATGCTGCGACTTGAAGCAGTCCTGGAAAAAGCTGATGTCATCAAGTCAAGCTGATCGAATGCCATCTGGAACACATCTAAGCCTACAGCTGAACAAAATCCCCGTCGGCTGCAAACGTGTGCGACTTAAAAGATTCATATGTTGTCCTCCTTTACCCCTATGAATCACTGTTAGTCCCGTGTGAATATGTGTAACTGTAAATCGCTCAGAGCCAACAGCTCTGCAGGACTGAGCGATTAATAAATCGAAAGATATTATTATTATTATTATTATTATATCATGCAAAAACCTAAAGAATATTATACATTTGCTAATAGAAAAGTCCACAGCTACAGAGACCTATTCTACAGCATTGGAATACGCCTCTGTAGCTGTGGACTTTTCTATTAGTAAATGTATAATATTCTTTAGATTTTTGCATGATATGAACATGTATAAGATATACTAGGGTCTCTATTGTATTTAAATCAATAAATAAAGACACAAGTGCATATTAGTAGAGTGTGTTTTGTTCTAACACTGTGTTTCTTTATGTTTGTATAACTCTGATGTGTTTCCCCGTGTGTTTGTTGCTACCCTCGAAAGGGAGCCAAGGGCAAGGAATGCGACTGGCAGGGCGGATAAGTGCCAGGCCCTTGTTCCCATCCCCTGTAGCTGCTACTCTGGGGAGGGTACTGGCTGCATCCCTGGACAGGTGCTCTGCTGCAAAGTCTTCTGCCCACTCCACTGTGTTCAACCTTCCCTCTAACCCCCAGTCTGAGGCTTCGAAATCTGAGGGCAGGGCTTTAAAATATTTCCAGTTCCTGGCGGGAGTCTCCGCTTCAGGGATGACTGATACAAAACGACGGGCTTTGAGACACAGCTCCTGACTCGTGGGCAAACTGTTGTGTGGCCAGTCTGAGACACAGAGGATCTCCTACAGACCTCACAGGCAATGCTCCCTCTAAGCTGTGGAGTCTTGTGAGCAAAAATTCTACTTTGTGAGCGACTGGCATTAAAGTTGTGAGCGAGCGATTTGGCTACTGTATAAATGCGTTTGCTCTGGAGCCATCCTTCCTGAGCTAAGAGGAAAAGGTGTGAGCCGGAGGCTAAAAACCTGCGAGCTGGCTCACACTCACTCAGCTTAGAGGGAACATTGCTCACAGGATCTCTTCCTATAGAGCTGCACAGAGAGCTCCCGGTATTAAGAACGATGGGAGAAGCAACAGACAACCCCCTCAGGCAAGGACAGACCACACCTGAGAGAGGAAAGGAGCCAACCCGCCTTGCCGCCCTGCATGTGAAGATGCAGCTGCTTCTCTTTGGGAGGAGGCGTGCCTCCCAGTCGGCCTCCTAGACGCTGGGGGCAGGACACTCACCACCACTCCGAACTGTTCGGGCTCGGCCAGCTCGTTGTACTCCTCCTTCAGTTCGGCTATCATTTTCAACTTGTCTGGTTCTGGCATTAACTTAATGAGGTTCTGAGAGAGGAATCAAAAGAGGATGCCGTTAGTGGAACTGCGGCTGCTGGGGAAGGCAAGGAAGACGCTCTGGTTCTGCCTGCAAAGAGGAGGAGTTAGGTACATCAGAAAGGGCAATGGGTCTTTTCCCCCCCAAAGAAAGGAAAAACACCTTGAGGAACACTCATTTGTCAGACTTCTGTATCCTTGGGCAGAAACCGGTACATCATTGCGTGGCAGGAATTTAAACACAAACGTCTTCTTCTAGATCAGCCTTGCACAAGAGGTAACTCACTAGTCTGAACTCAGTCCACCAGCTGCTTGGTTACTATGTGGGGTCAAGAAGGTATCTGTGTCCTGCAGCACCATCCTAAGAATATTAGGAAGAACATTAGGAAGAACTTCCTGACAGAAGGGTTCCTCAGTGGAACAGGCTCCCTTGGGAGGTGGTGGGCTCTCCTCCTTTGGAGGTTTTCAAACAGAGGCTAGGTGGCCATCTGACAGCAATGCTGATTCTGTGAACTTGGGCAGATCACGAGAATGGAGGGCAGGGAGGGCTGCATCAGTGCTTAGTTCTCGTGGCCCTTTCTTACACGCCCAGGGAAATGCTGATCGCCACTTTGGGGTCAGAAAGCAATCCTGGAGGTTTTTCGTCATCTTCTGGGTGTGGAACAGCAGTCACTGGGGGTGTGGAGGAGGAGGTATTTGTGAATTTCCTGCATTGTGCAGGGGGTTGGACCAGATGACCCTGGAGGACCCTTCCAACTCTATGATTCTATGTTCCTGGAAGTAGGTCCCAGCTGAATAGAGATGAGTAGGATTCTGAGTAAACCTGCTTAGGTTGGCAGTGCTAGACACCTGTCTGTGAGAGCGAAGCACACTTTTTAGTCTGGCCCAAATTCTCTTCGGAGAAGCCCAAGCATAAGAAAGAAAACCTCCCTCGGGCGCCTCTCACTCCTGTGCTGGAGGAGCTGCAAGCTGTTTTAGACCCAGCTTGGGGGGGCGTGCACGTGCACACGCACGCACACAGAGTAGCTAAGACTGCTAAGCAAATTTGGAAGAAGCACTGAGACCTGGAATATGGTGAAACCAGAGACATCTGTATTGTTAGAGACATTCAAGCATCCACAACAGAATCAAGCATACAGCAACCATGCCAAATATTAGAGAATGCCCACACTGAGAAGCAAATATTCCAAACATCCACACATCTGGGACAATACACATGCATCGGGGGAGGGGTAAGTGGCCAGAGGTAGAAAGAAGAGTAGGAGGCTGGAGCTACTACCTGTCTGAGCAGGTTCTAAGCTCCCTCCTTGGGAAGGGGGGTGTGTGTCCCAAAATAAGCATCTGGGCAGCCAAAAACCCAAAAGCACAAATTCCAGGGAAGGCAAGATCCATGTGTCACTGTGGTGGGTGAAGGTGTAAGCCACAGCATAACACCAGGGGCTTGGAGAAGACTGTAACTCTTTGGGGAGACAGTCTGGCTTCAGTTATAGGACTTGGGCTGAAACGAGAGAGGAAAGATTCCTTTTTCCTGGGCTTGGAAAAGGGGAGGCCGGGTGGCATGCTCTCCAGCTGGCATGGCAGAGGAAGTTCTCATGCCCTGGGAACACTTCTTAAAAAGGAAAGAGAAGTCTTGGGGCAGGAGGCAGTATTATAGGCGACCTTGACTTCCTCTTGGAGCTGGGGTTGTCAGAAGTAGAAGAGAAGAAGAGGAGATTGGATTTATACCCCGCCCTTCACTACCCAAGGGAGTCTCAGAGCGGCTTACAAACTCCTTTCCCTCCCCCTCCCCATAACAGACACCCTGTGAGGTCGGTGGGGCTGAGAGAGCTCTTGACAGAAACGGCTCTTTTTCAAGAACAGCTCTTATCAGAACTACGGCTTGCCCAAGGCCATCCAGCCAGGTGCAAGTGGAGGAGTGGGGAATCAAACCCAGTTCTCCCAGATTAGAGTCTGCGCACTTAACCACCACACCAAACTGGCTCTCAGCTGATCTCTGCTGGGTCATGCGAGGAAAAACATTTTAGTTGAAGATGCAAATGGACAGCTAGAGCAGATCCTTTGTGCTAAACATACTTGATTAATTACGGAGAGGTCCTGATTAAAGACCTGGAGCTAGTTTCTCTCTGGGACGGCCCCTGGTTTTGTGTAAAGGGATCAAGGGGTCCTATGCCCGTCTCTGCTGGTTTTCCATCTTTTTGTCATGAGGCTGGCAAAGAACAGCTGGTCTCAGAGCTAAGTCGGAGAGGAAAGAGAAGGAAAGATGGAAGCTTGAGGTCAGCTGCAGGGCTCAAAAATCCACTTTCCCCGTCTAAGGCAGCCAGCAAAAAACAAGCTGCGTATTAAGCAGGGCTGGGGTCTGTGTGCGTGTGGGACAAGTTCTGCAAGGCCTGCTCACCCCTAAGAAGAACATACTGGCAAGCTTCAGCCTGTGCTCACCTGCACCACATAATTGCAAGCTTCAGCCTGTGCTCACCTGCACCATGGACTCGGTCAGCACAGCTTCATTCACCTCCAGGATGGCGTTCTTGATCTCCTCGTAGGGCATGCGGAAGGAGCCCAAGAAAATGGCTGCCAAGTTCACAGAGAAGCAAAGTAAATCTCTGGGGACAGCATCCTGTCCAAAGCCTCAGGCTGCGCGGCTTGACTCCCCTCCCCCCATCTTCATTCTCTAGCCCTTTCAACTAAACTCAGAGCTTTGCCCTAGACGCAGGGGGCAATGGCTAGAGGGGGGTCGACAGCCCGTGGCTCCCGAGCCAAATGTGGCTCCCTACAGGACCAAACATAGTTCTTTCAAAAAGATAATCAAAATCCGAAGGGATGGGGTGTGTGTGCTAGAATAACCAAATATGTGAAGATTTTTATGGGACCTCAATAGATTCCTAGAGATGCTTCACAGAAGGGGAAATTATAGAGGGGAACAGTTGCCAGCGATCAACAAGCACACCATGCACAGATTTATGCCCGTGCATAAGACAACTGTGCAGGGGACTCTTGCATATGTTTATTGCAAGATCTTGTGTGTGCTGCTTCCTAATGAAGGACTCGGAACAACCGGTGTTTGAGCGGCAGAAATTTTCTGGATTATTAATCAACACGTCAACAGTACTGTTAGCTTGTACAGTTTCGGTTAATGCAGACTGGCTTTCTTACGCCGGCTTTTTGTTGATCTCTTGCTCTGAATTTGAACACAGGTTGGCTCTTTCATTGCAGAAGGCCGCAGACCCCTGTGCTGGAGCTAGCACTACTCACAGAGATTCTGGGCGTTCTTCGAATCCAGCACCCGCAGCTCTTTGACCTTCTTCTTGGACTGGCTCTTCTCCTCTCCATTCTCCTGCTGTTTTTTTGCTGTGGGTCAAAGGAAGGCAAGAGGTCAGCAACACGAGGAACCCCTTCACTTCAAACTGGCCAGCACAAAATTCCTCCATAGGGTTCTCCCAAAAGCTGCTGATCATACTGAGGATATAATACGATGCCCTTCCCACCCCACCCCCAAATTCCTTAGAAGGGGTACACGAACCCAACAATTAATTAAATAAAACAATTAATTAAATTAATTATTGCATGGCATTGTGTGTGGTATAGCCAGGAGATCCTAAGATTGTCTGGCTGCCTGAAGTAATAGCTCTTTTTAGCCTTACAGGCCACCACGTGGTGTGCTAGACTTATTTTTTGGGCTGAAAGAGCTGTGACTGACCCAAGGTCATCCAGCTGACTTCATGTGGAGGAGTGTGGAATCGAACCTGGTTCTCCAGATTAGAGTCCGCCGCTCTTAACCACTACGCCACGCTGGCACCCACATGAACCCATGAAGCCGCCTTACACTAAATCAGACCACCGGTCCGCCTGGGTCAACATTGACTATTCCAGGGGTCCCCAACGTGGTGCCTGTGGGCACCGCAGCACCCGCCAGCACCTTTCCTGGCACCCACCAAGTGCTTTTAGAAAGTGAGACGGACCAGGTGAGACTTTTGCCCAGCAAGGCTTCTGATTGGCCACTGGAGATTTGATCAGCTGTGCAGATTCTGGAAAAACGTTGCTGCAGCAGGAGCTGCCACCACAGCACCAGGAGCTGCCACCACAGCACCAGGAGCTTCACTGCGTGACTGAAGGTAACCTGGGGCGGCCATTTTGTGGCCGTCCCCGCCTCCTGCACCATTCTGTGGCTGCGCCCACCATGTTGTGCTGGAATCCCAATGGTGCCCGCAAGCTCAGAAAGGTTGGGGGCCCCCGGTTTACTTAAACTGGCAGCAGCTTCCCAGTGTCTCAGGCAAAAGGCACCACCGACTACCTGATCCTTTAACGGGAGATGCCAGGGATCGAACCTGCATCCTTCTGGCATACAAAGCAGACGCTCTACCTCTGAGCCACAGCACCTCCTCGGAGGAGAAATAGAGAGGGACACAGACGCAGCTGAAAAAAGATCCTTGGAAAGATCCCCCATCAGCCCTGACCTGCATCTGACCTTGTACGGCACTGGAAACACTGCACCAGTGGAAAAATACCCATGGCCGCTCCTGTGCCAGGCCTTAAGCAGTGACAAAAGATTTCCTGGACAGAGAACTTGGTGCCTGATGGAGTTGCTGCCTCAGCGCTGCCTCCGACAAAGTCCAACAGCAAGGTCCTTCCTGTCACTGAGGTTCTGAGGCTCAACTCCATACACTTCCCGGAAGGCGAGTGTGCCACCTGCCTCAGGTCACACCATCTCTAGCTAGCCAGGCAAGAGAGCTGAAGGAAATGGGGAAATTGCAGGCTTTCTTTCAGCTCAAACATGTGCCTTGAATGACTAACACGGCACTGTGCGTGTGTAGGCAGGAATCCCAGCATGCTGTTTATTTTTGTACGACAAGTGACTTTGTGGAATTATTGGCAAGGCCGCTCTCCCGTATAACCTGCGACACTGCATGCTGGATTTTCTTCACCTCCTGCAAGATCCAAGGGCAGTCCAGATCCGACCTCAATAGATGTGTATTCCGTACTTCCAAGGGTTCTCGCGCACCCCAGAAAGACACAACATCCTCCCCAAACACCCACACATCACTTCTCGGCGAGGAGAAGGACTGACTCACAAGTTCTCACTCACATCCGATGGCAAGGCAGATCATTCCTTGGAACAATCACAGGGCGGCAAGTCTGCGTTTTTATAAAGGCAAGCAGGAAGCCGGCCAAGACAATGAAAGGGGAGAGCGGGATAAACAGGATGTCGCGGACGGTGCCCTGCTGCCAGAGTTTCTCTCTGTTCAGCTCAGTCTCCAAGGCAGCTCTCGACCCCAGACCAGCCTGTGGAGAGGGATAAACAGGATGTCGTGGACGGTGCCCTGCTGCCAGAGTGTCTCTCTGTTCAGCTCAGTCTCCAGGGCAGCTCTCGACCCCAGACCAGCCTGTGTCCCCCCCCGGCTTATATGTCGCTGGCTGATAATGTCAGTAGAGAGAAACTTCAATGCCTTAGGAGCAACAGGCCAACACGTAGGGACACAAACTCCCTAGTGATGTGGTGAAGGAAAAGATATGGGGGTGTGTTTGTGGAGGAGGAGGAGGAGGAGGAGGAGGATGGCCTTCACCCATCAGCAGCGATTGGCAGCCCACAGGCTCCCTTCCCAGGTCAGAAGCACTGTTGCTAAGGGGTTCAGAGTCACTGACCTAGATTCCTGTTGTGCATTTGCACACATGAAAGGCGCTGGGACTAAAAGGGAA